GCTTAGGTGCAGGCACATCCTCCTGTAGAGATGAAGAAGGAAACCTGGTGACAGATACAGACAGCGTGTTGAGGATCTGGAAGGAGCATTTCGAAAAGCTTCTGGTATCAAATAGTGGCGGTGAAGAAGATGTCCCAGAACCTATACGAGATGACGGTATAGAGTGTACACCACCTAGCAGAGGTCAGAGTAGCAATTAATCGACTGAAGAACAAAACAACAGCAAATGCCGATGGATTAACAGCCGAACAATTCAATACCGGTAGTCAGATGCTGGTCAGGACACTTATGCACCAGCTTATTAGATTTTCACTCTGCGCCAAATCCTGGAAAAGACCCACGAAAAACACATCGACACATATCACCTATTTGTCGACTATAAAGCCGCATTCGACAGTCCTATCCGTTCAAAGGTGTTTAAAGCCATGTCTGCGTTCGGCATTCCTGCAAAATTAATACGGCTATGCAGGATAACTTTAAGTGGCACAAGGTCAGCAGTTAAAGTAGGAAAGGACCTATCGGAGCCATTCGATACCGAACGAGGATTCAGACAAGGTGACAGTTTGTCGTGTGATCTTTTTAACATCCTGCTGGAAAAGGTCAAAGTGGGTCTGGCAGTAAACGGCGAGAAGACCAAGCTGATGGTATCAACGCGCAAGACATCCAGTAGACTCGGACTAACTGTGGAACATGGGCACTACAGCTTCGAGGTAGTTAAAGACTTTATACGAATGACATCAGTTTTGAAATTCGGAGAAGGATTGTGATGGCCAATCCTAAGTAAGCATTTTAGAAACAAGGCCACCTCCAGCCAGACCAAACTCACACGTTACAAGACGCTGATACTACCCTACCCATGCTATTATATGGATCAGAAGCATGGGTACTTGCGCAAGCAGATGAGGCAGCTCTTGGGGTGTTCGAGAGAAAAATTCTCCGAAAGATCTACAGGTCGATCTGTGTCGACGGTGAATATCGGCGTTGAATGAACCACGAGCTTTACAATTTATACGCGGACATCGACATAGTCAGTCGTATTGAGCTGCAGCGACTACGGTGGCTAGGCCATGTTGTTCGGATGAATGAAAATGCCCCAGCTCAAAAGGCATATAAAAACGAGCCTACTGATGGTTCCCGTAGAAGGGGAATGCCACGAATTAGATGGAAAGACCAAGTGGAAAACAACATCTTGGAACGTGGTCTTCCAAATTGGCGGACATGAGCACAAGACCGACGCGCTTGGAAATCTTTTTAAGCTCGGCTTATTGAACAACCGTTCTGTAACAAGCCAGCTAAGTAAGTAAGTATTAAATGCATTATTTTAGATATCTGAAGGACCTATTTGCATTTTTTATTATGTAGTACAAGGTATAGTCGCAATTCTCAACGAAAATATTTGTCAAATGGTATTTCAGGTTTTCATAGGGCAAATAAACATCTTATAGAACATTTCGTAGAATGTGTATGTCGATATTCTAACATAATCAGTTTTAAAGGTCCCGCTGTCTGTATTTTTGTATGTCGTATTCTTAGAAGGTAGATATGTGCATGTTTTGTCATAACATTTATAGAAAATATATAGCACAATTTGAACTGTTTCGAAAGTCCTAGCAATATATTCGACATAAGTAACTTATTTTGACCTATTTGGAAGATGAAATATTTGAATTTGGCATATCATAGGGCTATTTTCCTGTATTTACTCAAATGCACCTGGGAATTTCTCAATTTTAACATAGCTACAAAAAAATTGTGGACTTTATATTTTGAAAATATTTTAGTTTTTATGATAACAAATTTGGTTCGGTCAAACTTAATAACGTTTTCACTTATTGCGATCACAAGGGACTTGGGTATTATGGGTATTATGTCAAAACAAGAAAACAAATCTACCAGAAGATTTTTTAGTTTCTTAGAAAACGAGAGGAGGAATATTTCCCTTTTTATGAAAAATGAATTTACCCACCAAGTACCCGTATGTCCTAATTATAACCGCTCGTTTAGGAAAATGCGTCTAGAAGTAACAAAAATACTTAAAATGGATAAATGTTAAAATACGGACCTAAATTAAAAATGTTCTGCTTAGAGATATTCTCTCATCTGTAAACCTGAATACGAATAATAAATAAAACAACTGAAAACCAGTAAGGAAAGTAGTAAAGTCGGACGGGGCCGACTATATGATACCCTTCACCACTATGGGTATATTACACAGGACTATTAACATGAAATTGGATGAAATAAAATATGTGATATTTATCTAAATGTGAATCTATCTAGATCTATCCATAAAGTATGTAAATCGACTTCAAACAAATATAAATAGGTCATCCGTTGGGCTATGTCTTTACTTCTTGAAAACGCAACTACGTAATTCTATGCTCAATTATTTACGTTGTGCAAAATTTAATGTCAATCTAGCTAACATAAGGAGTATGATGCCCAATTTACTTGAAATCGGGCGAAGATATATATGGAAGCTCTATCCAAATATTAAGCGATTTCAAACAATCTTGTCACAGGTTAGGTTATACTAATTTAAGAACGTTTTATTCCTATTGGTTCCTTGGTGCGTGAATATATAAATCTGGACCGATTTTCACGAAACAAGGCAGAGATCACTCTAGGCTCAATTCAGTACGTTATGCCAAATTTCGTGCAAATCGAAGGATATATAGGGACGTTGGTGCACCATTTACATGAAACCGGACGAAACTATATATGGGAGCTATATCTAAATTAGGACCGATTTTCATGAAACTTGGCAGATATCATTCTATGCTCAATTAAGTACGTTATGCCAAATTTCGTGCAAATCGAAGAATATATAGGGACTTTGGTGCACCATTTACATGAAATAGGACGAAACTACATATGGGAGCTATATCTAAATCTTGACCTATTTTCACGAAACTTGGCAGACATCATTCTAGACTCAATTCAGTACGTTATGACAAATTTCGTGCAACTCGATAGAAAGATATATAGGGACTTTGGGAAAGATATATAGGGACTTTGGAAAGATATATAGGGACTTTGGGACATTTACATGAAATCAGAGGAAACTATATATGGGAGCTATATCTAAATCAGGACCGATTTTCATGAAACTTGACAGACATAATTCTAGACCTAATTCATTACGCTATGCCAAATTTCGTGCAAATCGAAGGATATATAGGGACTTTGGTGCACCATTTACATGAAATCGGACGAAACTATATATGGGAGCCATATCTAAATCTGGAACGATTTTCTCGAAACTGGACAGACATCATTCTAGGCTCAATTCAGTACGTTTTGCCAAATTTCGTGCAAATCAAATAAGATATATGGACTTTGGGTCACCATTTACATGAAATCGGACGAAACTATATATGGGAGCTATATCTAAATCTGGACCGATTTTCACGAAACTTGGCAGACATCATTCTAGACCTAAATTATTAGGCTATACCAAATTTCGTGCAAATCGAAAGTTATATAGGGACCGTTTACATTAAATCGGTTAAATATATATGGGAGCTATATCTAAATCTGAACCGATTTTTCCCAATTTCAATAGGGTTCATCCTTGGGCCGAATAAGTGACCTTTGCCAAATTTCATCCAATTCGGATCATAAATACGACCTGTACTTTGTTTACAAATTAACATGGACAGACAGACAGACGGACGGACGGACATGCATAAATCGACTTAGAAAGTGATTCTATGCATATTCTCAAAAGGAACCATGTGTCTATCTCGTTTCCTTTTGCTTCTGAGGAAGTGCAAGTTCGTGCCTATTGTTCTAAGTATAAGTTTGCTGTTCGAAATTGTGTCTTCGGTCTATCCTGCACAGTTTCCGTTTATGCGCCCCAAATAGCATAGAGGGTTATTTAGACTCGTGTTAAGATTCGAAAGTAAGACCAATTTCTTTGTACTGTCTCTGTTTCATTTTTTAGAGGAACAATCCCATAGTCAGTTTTGGTTCTTGTTACAAGGCCCTAAATATTACCACCAGATATTAACTGATGTAGGAGAATGACAACTTTCTGTCTTAAAAAGCTGGAATTATCCACCACAGGACGAAAATATACATAGAAACTTGGCTCAATTTGTAACGTTTGAACAATTTCATCTTAATCGAACGAAAGTCGGGCACTTAGTGGACCAATTGCATAAGATGACGTCCTTTTAGGAGCTATATCTAAATCTGAATCACACATCATTATACCCTTCACCACACTGTGGTACAGGGTATTATGTCTTTGTGCATATGTTTGTAACAGGCAAAAGTAAACGAAATAGGCACATGGTTCCTTTTGAGAATATGCATTGAATCACTTTTTAGGTCGATTTATGTATGTCCATCCGTCTGTCTGTCTGTCCATGTTAAATTGTAAACAAAGTACAGATCGCATTTATTATGCGATTTGGATGAAATTTATTGAAATTGGGAAAATTGGTTCAGATTTAGATATAGCTCCCATATGTATTTTCGTCCGATTTAAGGTAAATGGTATAGGTTGCAGAATGACATGTTTATGGATCCATTTTCGTGTTAATGGTCCTTCAACGTCTGTTAGGATTCATCTGTTGAATATACCCAAAGTGGTGAAGGGTATCATATAGTCGTCCCCGCCCGACTTTACTACTTACCTTACTGGTTATAGTCTAAGTTTATGACAATGTGTAGAATTCCGTTTTAATATTGGGTCTGTTTAATATTTAACAACATAATTCCCCGTACCACCCTATTCGTAACTATTTGTTAGCTTACTGAACACGATTCAGATTTACTATTTCCCCATTTGTAGTACATTTTAGATTTAATATATGGACCTTAAGCCCCTGCCGTTTATCTGTACATCCTTTGCAACAAATCGCTTAATTTGATTTGAGAAAAAAAGAAACACTTATCATGAATGACTTTTTCGCATCTCCACAAAATACTCACACACACAAACACTCACACACTTGCAAACATTCACACGATTAACCATAACTTCAACTTACCCGCGTTATAATATTGCCATCACCAATCCTTACGATATTATCCAACGATATTGTGGTGGTGGTTGTGGTGGCTGTGCTCGTCGTCGTCGTCGTACTTGTGGCTGTTGCAACGGCCGATGTTGTTGATGTTGAGATAAGGGTGGCGGGTGCAGCTGCATTGCTGCCTATTGTCGTTGTTAAATTGGCAACAAAATGAGCTCGACTGTAATCAAATTGCAATTGTACAACAACAAAGATTACATAAATTAAATGCAACAACATGTTGTTTAACGGTTTGTTGTTGTTCGAATGCTTTACACAAATCCAATAATGCCACCGCTACCAATGATGAAGGCGATGTGGCTGATGAGGAGGGGGGCGATGATGACAACGATGCTGTGTTTCTTTCCCTGTAGGGTAGCAAAGATGCCAATGTCGATAATGCGGATGTTGTTGGCAACAATGGGTTAATACAATTTGGCCTCTTGACTTGACGTGTAAGTGTACGATGGCACTGAGAACCTGTAGCCGTGGATGTTTTCCACAATGTTTTGTTTTCTATTTCCCTATCCTTGTGTTCGGCGTGTTGTTGTTTATGCTCCTTCGCCAGCAATTCAGCTGAGGGAAAATTTCCTGTTTCCGTTTTTGATTTCCTTTGATATAAATGTTGTTGTGGTTGTTGTTCTTGTTTGCTGGTAATGTTTATGCTATTCTTTAAGTCCGATTTGTTCGCATTTATGGCGTTCGTGTTTACTTTGAAGTTCTTCGCAATGTCGTTCTTCGTTATGTTGCCGTCGTCGTAGTAGCTGTCGTTACTCCTGCTGCTGCTTCTGTATATTTGGAGGCTTAGCCCAGCCATATTGTTAGGTAGCATTGCATTGTTGTTGTTCTTATTATTCATAAGGATATTGTTGAGAAATACAATTTTATAAGCACTGCAATTGAGTTAAAAAGAAAAAGAAGAAAGTTTTGATAATTAGATTAGAAGTTTGTTAGGTTATTTGAAAATGATTGTAAATTATTTGATTATTATTTTGAAAATGTCAAATATTTAATTTTCTAAGTCTTGATTTAGATTAGGCGAGTTTACTTGCGGCAAGTCTTTGTTTGTAGGAGAGAGGGGCAAGGGGTATAGAAATGAAAAAAAATTGCTCGTACCGACAATTTTCTGGCAATTCGTTTTGTGTTTTTCGTATTTGTTGAAATTTTATATATATTTAAATGTGAAAAAACAACAAATAAAAAAATATTTTGGAAACCGAATTGCCTTGTATAGACGCATGGAGCAAGTTCAAAAGATAACGATAAAAATTGCCGCAAGTAAACTCGCCTAATATAAATCAAGACTAAGAAAACCTGTAAGGAAAGTAGTAAAGTCAGATGGGGCCGACTATATGATACCCTTCACAACTTTGGGTAAATACAAGATAACTAATTTAAAACAACCTATACACATACAAAATGAAAGATCAATGAAAAATTTCATGTCCGATTTTCACGAAATTTAACACACGTCATTCTAGACTTAATTCAGTACTCTATGCCAAAATGCGTGCAAATTGAATGATTTTCAGGGACTTTGGTGCCCCAGATATAAATCGGAGGAAAATATATGGGCTACATCTAAATTTGAACCGATTTTCTCCAATTTCATTAGGATTCATCCTTTAGCCAAATAAGTGACTTGTGCCAAATTTCATCCAAATCGGTCTATAAATGCGACCTGTGTTTTGTGTACAATTTAACATCAACAGGCGGACGAACGGACATGCATAAATCGAAAGTGATTCTATGCATATTCTCAAAAGGAACCATGGGTCTATCTCTATTCTTTTTGCCTGTTACAAACATATGTACAAAGACCTGTACCGCAGTGTGGTGAAGGGTATACAAATTGTAAAATTGTTTTAAACCAGAAATGAACGGATATACATCAATCGGAACCTACATCATTCATACCATCATAACATAAATACATTATATTTGGCAGCTATAGCAATGTGTAAAAAACACCAACCAACAAGTTTCGGCATTTAGTGCGCCCTAAATACAATATGGATTACATCGTGTAGGAATTACCGAAAATTTGGAATTATCATTATATGAGGGAATATGTCAAATTAAGGACCGCAATAGTTTAATATCAAACCTATCATTTTCGTATTATATCACAATACTTTCCGTCACGCTAACTATTAAAAATACCAAAAAACGAGATGTATCATATTTATAGGGGCTAGGCCTAAATGCGGGTCGCTATATAATTCTCGTCAGGTTCGAGTTTTTTTTATTACGATATCCTTCTGTAGAATGATTACAACAGTAGAATACATTGTTGTGTACACTGACAGATACTTGCAATAAAAATATGGGGAACATACCAAAAAGTGGACCTATACCGATAATTAAAAAAAAAAAAACAATTTATACTAATTTATTTAATGTACACCAAATATAAATTTCAGCAATTTTAAATGGGGATTTTACCTAAAATCTGAAAATCCTAAAACGCGGACTGATACTGATAACGCATGGTCGAGTATAAAATCCTCAAACTACTGCAATTTAGATTGCAAATTTCCAAACGAAACATTTTTGGATCACAGTACCTTCCTTAACGATAAATATTAAAAATACAGAAAATCGGTAGGTATTATTATATGGGGGCTAGGTCTAAATATGATATCCTCCGCAGTAGAATGATTACAACAGAGTCTTAGAACCAAACACAATTTAAGGGAGAATTGTAAAAAATGTAATTGTTTTTGATTTATTTGAAGTTTACGGTTTGATTTTGCCTCTTAAAGTCGTGTAAGTGACTGCGGCAGTGCCCATATGTATATGCGCTTTTGTTCATGTTCATTCATCTTTCGAAGTTATATTTCTAACAACATACAACTCTTCTAATACCACAAACAATATTTTTCATGACTAAACCAGCTTAGGTTTTCTCTGTCTAATCGAGGTTAAGTAATATTTATGGGGCTCCAGGAAGTGATTATGTTTATCTCACCAAACCACCTTTTATTAAGGTTTCAAAAGTATACCCCTTAATATATGTACTGGGAAACCCGTTACGTTGTCAACACACTTTTTTAATTTATAATATGAATTAATTTTAATATTTTGCAAACACACATGCATATACATACATATATATTTTTACAAGGATTCTAGGAAGTTATACTCTGGGTAATGCGTTTGTAATAACATTTCGTTGTAGTTGTTTGGCTTTAATGACTATTTATAATTTACATTACAATTTACATAGAACATTAAATACTCCGAACAGCTAACCAACGAACCAACCGACCGACCTACGAAGCAACACAAATACGCACATACTACCGACCCCGCCCCATCTTTTTACATATTTTCCCAAGCAGTCGAGCATGTAAATTCCTATTGTATGTAGGAAAATTGTAGAAAAGACTACGGTTAGTGGCTCTGAAGATACTTACCAACTGGCATACACTCGTACCCCATTAATAGTAAGAGTATATGTAGTCTTCCTTTCTAAATGTCTAAAATATACATACATACACACTTTAGGTATGTGGGAGCATGTTTGTTGTAAGAGAAAATCACACAAGCATTTTACATACAATTGCACTTAAATTTTCATTTGCATTTACAATTTTTTTATATTATTATGAAAACATGTTTTGATGTTACTCCGCATCCTCTAACCCAAACCCCAACCTCATTTTTTATTTTCCAGTGAATGGGGCTAGTCTACGGTGAATTGCGCCATTTTCTTGTGTACACTTGTGAACGTGTTTGATGGATGGTTGAAAGTGTATTGATGTAGTATGAATGAAATAAGTTCAGGTGAAACGAATATTAAAAACTCTACACAAAGGAATTCGAGAAAATAAAAATTTAAAAATCCACGCCTCCTTGGTCCTTGAGAAAATAAAAATTTAAAAATCCACGCCTCCTTGGTCCTTGAGAAAATAAAAATTTAAAAATCCACGCCTCCTTGGTCCTTGAGAAAATAAAAATTTAAAAATCCACGCCTCCTTGGTCCTTGAGAAAATAAAAATTTAAAAATCCACGCCTCTTTGGTCCTTGAGAAAATAAAAATTTAAAAATCCACGCCTCTATGGTCCTTGAGAAAATATAAATTTAAAAATCCACGCCTCCTTGGTCCTTGAGAAAATATAAATTTAAAAATCCACGCCTTGTGTTGGTTCTTGAGAAAATATAAATTTAATAATCCACGCCTTGTGTTGGTTCTTGAGAAAATATAAATCAGTGAGCGGAGCAGTATAGTCGGACGGGGCCGACCATGCGATACCCTACACAACTACCACGAACTCTAACTTTCTGAGGATGTTTATTCCGAGTCTGAGTAATATTTCGTGATATTTGCCCCCTCTTGTCCGATTAGAGGTTAACAACACCTCTTCCTTACTTTTTTCGAATATTCAGTACAATCCTTCTATTTACTTGTCCAGATTACCTTCACGGTAGGTTGTGTTGAGATTTTCGGATCGAAAACACACAAAAAATTATGTTTTCGGTCCATTTCATCCCAAAATTTTAATCTGATCATCACCGAAAATTGTAGGCGTTGTTCTTGACCATAACTGGAACTTCATGAAAAATTTCAAAGCCATCAGCGCGATATTTCTCCCTCTAATGTGGTAATGGGTTACTAAATAATATCTGAATACGTAAGCACCTGTAAATATTTGACTGTAACTCACACATCTGAGTAGATGCGTCACTATATTTGGTATCAATTTAAAGGAAAACCACTCCTCTTGGATATGCTATCAACTCCTGGGGTCTACATCCTCCAGGAGTAAATATATATGCCATAGAATACAAATTTTGTCATTTTTCACACAAAAGTCAGGGTCCATTTGACCCGCTAAATATTGACCGATCTTTATCAAAACATGCATGCTTATTCTCTGGCCCGATCCCCTTCTCCATGCAAAAATTCGCGGTGTTTGGGCCATAATTGCGGCCTCTGGAGCGACCAGAAAACCCGACAAAAATAATGTTTTTGGTCCATTTCATCCCCTAAATATTAACCGATCTTTTCCAAAAACAATAGGGGTCTTTATTGGCCAGAACCCATCCTACATGCAAAA